CCACCCTATTTTCACCCCTTCAGACAGTTTAACAAACTAGGGCGGCTCTGTTTTTTAACTAATTCAGTCAATAATCGTATCATATTGAAAATGGTGGGTGTGCAGAGTCGATAAATGAAAAAATAATAATGCGATATTTTTTCTCAGTGTGCTTTGTGGATGTGGATAACTTCACACCCGTTTCTTTTTGTTCCCATTTTGCAAAAGTTTTAGGCATTGTTTGTCCAAAATTTTCATTGTTTTTTGTATTTTGGGAATAAAATTCGATTTTTTGAGCAATTTTTGTCTTTACTGTGGCTCTTGTAACTCCCTGAAGAGGTGGCTTTGCCCATCTTTCATTTATAGCTTTTTATACAAAGAAAGTATCTGTTGGGCAAAGTGACCCCACTTCACGAGGTGACTTTGCTCACCCATATTTTATTTTTTATTTAAGAGGGGGAATCATATGAAAATAAAATAACTACATAAATCACATCTACAAACCAACTTCCAAAGGTACAAATTTTATCCAGGATATCACAAAATGGGTTATGTGAAAATTATCATCTCAAATTTTAAAATTGTCAATGTCACCCCATTTGACCAGTATATTTAAAGTTCTTTTTCTACTCAAACATGTGTGATTAGATACTTGGAAAAAGTATGTCCTCATAAAACCAGGGGACATTATTCTGAGAAAAATGATGATCCACTAAAGTCTGAACATATCGATGTAGATCAGTAATGTACATAACGAGTTTGTTCGATCTGTGCGGAACGTAATTGGCTAAATCAGGAATATTCAGAATAGTTAGTTCCATATTACAATTATACTAGGGCATAAAAACAATTATTCGAGTGGGTAGGTGATGAAATATTTAACATATCACAATGTAACACGATGTAACACAATGTATACAGAACACATTAAAGCTCGAACCAATAAAACAATTCAATGATGTGAAACATAAAAATTAAAAAAATTCCGAAAATTCATAGAGTACGTGATGTAATATATATTTTCAACTAAGCCTGGAATGAATATAAAGTAACATAATCTTTAATGCGGTATGGTAATTGGTTGAAATCATTCAATCCTCTGAAAAACAACGATTTCATAGATTGCTTTGTTCTTGTCCTGGAAATGTGGAATTGATTGGTGGTTCTTGTGTTGTAGTCATGAATTTGATTATTGTGCGTAATGAAGGAATCAAAATATTATGTTGTTAATGAATTTCTGGTTATTTTATAAATAAATATCATACTTGAGTAATACAGTCTACCTGCCACATCATACCACTTGACGGCACTCAGCATGCATTGAATGGAAGTGTATCTATTACATTTTAAGATGATTCTTAGTTATTAAGAAAAAACTAAAGCCCCATTTTTTTCACTTTATTGCTTATAACTTTTGTAATTTTTATCGGCGCGTTTTCGGACCTTTCCTTAAACTTTCTAGGCAAAAATACGAATCGAATGACACCTTGGTCGTAATTTTTGGACAGGGCTGAAAAATGTTACAAAAAATAGTACATGTGAACTCGACTATTAAAAGGGCAAAAATAAAGATGAGAAGGGTAACATTCCCCAAAAAACGATTTTGGGGAAGAGTCGATGATTACCCGCCTGAAGAAGCGGGTAATCATAAAATACGCGGAAGGAAACGACAAGTACCCTGAACAAAGTAACGTGAAGGAGAGAAAAAAGGAGTCACCCATGGATCAACGAATTCGTCTATCTACCGATTTCGAAAAAGAATGAATCACCGATCGATATATTCTCCGAGAGACTGTTTCTACTAGTCAATCTGTTGAGGATAACTAACACTTCTGATAATGATCGCGAGCTTTCGAAAGTAATATACAGGGTGGGCCATCGAAAACTTGACATGGAGGTTTTGGGTACTAATCTTGCAAATCCGAAAACACGCTGGGACAGGTCGATTTTTATCGAGAGGGGGACAGCTTTTTTCCCCATTTACAGTGTCGTCACTTTAACCCCGGAGCAGAGGGGTGAACAAACCTTGGAATTTTAAAAGGGAACTGGGGGCCAATCGCACATCGTTTGGAATATTTTGGAATTCTCTGAACAACGGTGTACATTTTTTTTTAATTTGGAGGAATCATATTAAATTTAGAGTTGAAGTTACTTACTTTATTCTCATGTTAGCATATGCTCAAAACGGGCACCTCCAGCTTCCAAGCAATAATAGAGATTCTGCTGGAAACGTTCTTGGTGACATTTGTGATTCGTTGCCCTAAATCTTCGAGTGATGTAGAAGGAGTACAGTAAATTCTGTTTTCCAAATGACCCCACAGAAAAAATCTAACAGCGAAAGGTCTGGCGATCGTGGTGACTATTCGATAGTATCCCCCCTTCCAATGCAGTGATCCGGAAAAGTCTGATCTAAATACTGCTGAACAGGCAGAGCATGGTGCGGAAGAGCCCCATCTTGTTGAAATATTAACAGATCCTCCCGAATTGTGGTCATTTTCAATAATATCAGTGAGAAGAGGATTATTAGTATTGTAACGAATTAAAGAATTAACTGTCTTAAACAAATTCATTTTTAACAATATTTCACTTTCACAACTAATTTATATACAACACTTAGCAACTAACGCCTAATTCATCTTTACTGTTTGTTAACCGCTCGATTCGCTTTCTTGGTACAGACTAACTGACTGACTAGAAGCGGCGCCTTTTTATAACGGCAACGATCGCTCCACATCTCTCTAGGGATTTCGGGACTCATCTACACCTTTCGCGATGTTTCGCGATGAGTCATGCGTTTGCTGACTGAGATATCGGTCAGGGCCGGCTTCAGATCCATTACAGTATCTTCCAGAAGCTCCAGATACATTTGTCCAGTTAAATTGCCTCTAAAAAAAATGGGCCAACAATACTGTCACCAAAAATTCCAGCCCATACATTTAATTTTTGTGGACGTTGAGTATGCATTCATGGAAAATGTGAGGATTTGAATCAGCCCAATAGCGACAATTATGGCGATTAACTGTGCCATTCAGAAAAAAAGAACATTAATCACTGAAGCAAATGCTGAAAACAAAATATGGATTTTCGATGACTCGTTCACTAACCAACTCGCAAAATTGCAAGCGTCGATCGAAATCATCTTCATTCAGTTCTTGCGTTAATTTAATCTTGCAAGGATGCATTTTGTGGGCTTTTAAAATACGCCGAATGCTAGTTCGTGACACCCCGTACAGTTCAATCAACTCAACCCTTTCTACAGTTGTGTAAACCTTGTTTCTTTAGCAACACTTTACGGCATTCGCTACTAGTAATAATGTAGATATCACTTTTAACATAAAAATGAGAAATAGAAACAGCATTTTTAACCATTTCTCAATTGTAATAGTCCTCTTATCAGAGGACTGATGAATTAACAAAAAAGTAGGGTAAGAAACAAATGAAATATTCCCAAATACATTCCAACTGATCAGTGGCAGTACAACAATTTGTTGCTATTAACAATATTGAAAAAGTTAATCTTCGGAAATAACTCTTTTAAATGCGTTCAAATTGAAAAAAATATACACCATTGTTTAGAGAATTTCAAGATCTTTCAAACGATGTGCGACTGGCCCCCTATTCCCTATTAAAATTCCAAGAGTTGTTCACCCCTCTGCTTCGGGGTTGAAGTGACGACGCTGTAAATGGAGAAAAAACTGTCCCCCTCCCAATAAAAATCGACCTGTCTGAGCGTTTTTTCGGATTTGCAAGATTAGTACCCAAAACCTCCATGTCAAATTATGATGGTGTTAGCAAGCAATAGTAAACAAGTGAAATACATGAAATATTTGTAAAGTAATGTTGAAGTAAAGTGTTGTTCCTAATAAGTTAAATCCCAAAATGAAGTTTCAATTTTTGATATTGATCTAGGTTTCAATAACTGCATTCACATGAAAGAAAAAGTGGCAAAAAAATTCAATGATTACAATAATTTTTAACTGTTGAACTTGTGATTTTACCATCATTCATACCTTTTCTTAATCCTGTCACAGGAACTGTCGATTCCGCGGTATCCTCCGAAATCCCTTTTGCCTTTCCATTATTATCTTTGTCACCTTCACCCTTGACGTAACCATTATTGATCACTCCACTAGTCAAATCAATTTTTTTAGCGCAATCACTCAAACCACTCAAATCTTCACTAGTAATATCGCCATTCGGGTACACGAACTGTTTTATAGTCACAGGTCCTTTGTAAACGGTTTTGTTTCCAAAATGGACGTCATTTGAATTCACTACCGAAACACTTCCGAAATGAGGTAGGTCCTGCTGAGGGATGGCGATGGTACCCTCGATATCGTCATCTTCAAGCTCTTGGCAGGACGAGGTACTGTAAGTGTCCACCTGAATCAAAATAAGCTGGGATTAGTATTAATATATCGAAACGGAAAGAATTAGTCAGATCATATTCAAATCACTTGATGAAGGAAATTTCACATGTCTCTTAATGCTTGATTACAGTAAAGCATTCGATACCTTGAATCCTTCTTTATTGTCCATAAGTCTTAAGTATTTTGGTTTCACCCATATTGGAGTGTCAGTTATGAATAACTATATCTCCGAAAGGATCCAATCAACTCACCTTGATGGTAACCAATCAACAATAATATGAAAAAATAGGTGTACCGCAAGGTTCAGTCCTCGGACCGCTCCTGTTTGCAATTTACATTAGTGACTTTCATGAATTTGTTAGTTTTGGTAAAATACATCACTACGCCGGTGATACTCAATTGTATAGTTCATTCAGCTTTAACGATATTACACTGGCCAAGAAAAATATTAACAGAAACCTTGAAACTCTATACAATGTATCCTGTGCACATAATCTTACTATCAGTCCAAAGAAATCCCAGGTTATGTTATTTGGCCCCAAAGTAAAAGAAATATTGTGTGTGAGTCATTGTCGATGCGTGTCAACAATAACATAATTCCTTTTGTGAATGAATGTAAAAATCTGGGCTTGTGGTTAAATACAGACTTGAGATTCATGAAGCATGTAAGTCATCTGTGTAAAACGGCATTCAATGTATTGAGACAACTTTATCCAAGTAGACACCTTTTATCAAAAAATCTGAAGTTGAGTCTCTGTGGAACACTTATTTTTTCAAGATTAGCTTACTGCGATTGTATCTACGGACCCGCCTTGTGTCAGATTTTACTATGGTATCCGAAAGTATGATCACATAAGTGCGTCCTTTCGAGATTCTGGCTAGCGTTCGCTCAAATAACTAAGAGCAATCCATTTGCTTAGTTTCACGCATAGAATTCTTGTTTCGGGATATCCGCCTTACTTACGTGAAAGACTGGTTGCACTATCACACAGTGGCACTTCTTGTAATAGGCATACTTTGCTCATTCCCAAGCATTCTACAGCAATGTTTACTCGAAGTTTCTCCTACAATGCGGCAACGTTGTATAACACCATCTCCACATACTTTAAAGAAAGTTAAATGAGAAACTTTAAGAAAAGTGATAGGGGACGACATATGCAAAAAGATGTTGGCAATTTCTCACATATACAAATATAAAAAAAATTATAAAAATACATACCAATCGAGGTTGGGTTCAAAAGCAGCTTTCATAGCTGAACTCTTTGAATTTTATTCAATTGTACTTCTTATTGTGATGAATAAAGACATTATTATTATTATTATCATTAACAGCACTGAAGAAAAATTTTCAAATCATCTAAAAGAACAATTCGTGCAGGCCAGTCTCAACACCTAATAGACAGAATAGACAAAATGGAAGGAAGAAGAACAAAAAAGGAAATCGATCGACAAGGAAGCAGAGAAAATGGAAATGCAAAAGGACAAATCGAAAAACAGGGAAAAAAGAAAAGGTCAGCGGAAAAACCGAGAAAAGCCCTGAAACAAGGGGAAAAAACGCAGACCCACGACCGACAAAAAGGCCAAGTGCCCCTGAAGCAACCTCCGAAACGGAATCAGACGAAGGCTTCCAGCGAGTGGAAACCAAGAAAAACAGAAAAACGAGAAGACGTCTGGAAACAGAAGAGAAAGAAAAACAGCATGTCCACGCGGACATGGAAATGGAAGCGGAAACGTCGTCCATAGACGACGCACATAGACAAACAGAGGCACCAACCGTCGAAAACAAAAACCCAGAAACTCCAGTATGGCCAATCATGACAAACAGCGGAGAACAAATCATACCAACCCCAGCGAGTTCGGATTTGAACACGAACTCGAACACGAAGCAAGGGAACCCAGCCAATCCGCCACCAATAGTCGTCCACGACAGCAAAAGATGGAACGAAGACAAAAAGATCGGATACAACAAAGCAAGGCTGACCAGGGATGGAATTTACATCCACACGAATAACAAGGAGGAGTGGCGTAGAGCCACCCGATACATGGAAGAAAGGAAGATAGACTTCCACACATATTCCATTAAAAAAGAGATCCCGCTACACGCAGTGACTCGTGGGATCCCTGAGAACGTGACGGCGGAGGACGTCACAAGCGACCTGAAAGCACAGGGATACACTGTGCTCGAATGTTATAGGATGACATCCAGGCGCACCAGGACGACGCTACCGCTCTTCTTGGTAAAAGTGCCGAAAAGCGAAGAAAGGATATTCGCATTAAGAACGTGCGTGAACCTCATTGTGAGAGCAGAACCCCAACGAATAAACAGAGGGCTAATACAGCAATGTCACAAATATCAATTGTTTGAACATGCACAGAGATGCTGCCACGCAACCGCGCGTTGCGTAAAATGCGGAGAACAGCACGAGACAAGGGATTGCCAAAAACAAAGAGAAGCGCCAGCCAAATGTGCAAACTGCCTGGGTGCGCACCCGGCAAGTTACAGGGGATGCAGGATGTTCCCCAAACCCCGACACACATAAACAGCAGGAAACAGGCCTCAACAAGCGGAGAATCAGAGGCCCCGGTAGCAGCCAGCTCAAAGGAAACCAGCACCGAAGGCGCAGAAAGCCGGAGGAAACGAGCTGGTCCAAATTTTAGGGAGCTTAACGACTGAGCAGCGAAAGATCGCGCAAGCGGTCTTAGCCGCCTTAATACAAGCACCTGGACGACAGTAATGCCTGCACGAGTCCCGGAAAGACTACTAGTAGGATCATGGAACATAAACGGTTCCATAGAAAAACGGAACGAGCTACTGAAGCTGCTATCGCGTCTAGACATAGACGTCATGGCACTGCAGGAGACAAGATTGAGGAGCGAAAAGAGCTACCGTATCCCAGGATATATAACAGTTGCCATTGGCCACTTCAACGCAAAGTCGCGTGACTGGAACTGTAGGAATGGAAACAGGAGAGATAGAGAACTAGGCAGAATCCTAAAAGAATTCGAGGACATAGCGGTAGTAGCACCGAACACCCCAACATATTACGCGCATGAAGATCAAGTCCCGGACATCCTCGACATCGCACTAGTGCAGAACATCGAAACTACGGAGATGGAAGTACTAGACGAAGGTTCGTCAGACCACAATCCCATCCTATTCACAATAGGAAGGGGTGAAGTGGAAACAGACAACTCAACAAAGCGAGTCATCGACTGGATAAGATTCCAGCGAGCCATACACGATGCGATGGGCGAGATACCACGCATCGAAACAACAACGGATCTGGAGAACGCCACAGAACAGCTGCAGCAGGCGATCATCCAAACAATGGAAAGAAGCGCGCGGGAAGTCCCAGCCCCATGCTTTCACTTCCAAGAACAGCTCCCACCAGAAACGATGAAACTGGTCAGGATAAGGAGACGCCTGAAAAGACGGTACCAAAGGACTCGCGCGCCTATGGACCAAAGGACTCGCGCGCCTATGGACAAAAGGTGCATGCAAAGAGCCAACAGGATTCTAAAAGAAGAATCAAAAGAAATCCGAGACAGACAACGGACTACTCGTCTGGAAGAACTAAACACTGAAGACCAGTCTGCATGGAGAATGCAGAAAGAACTCAGGAAAGGATCTCGACAGCCATACCCGCCAATACACGGCAAGCAAGGAATCGTCTACACTGACCAGGAGAAGGCGGAAGCATTCACGGACAACTTCGAAAGGCAGTGCAGAGAAAACGACGTCCCGTCCACGGACGACGTAGACGAAATAGAGAGACAGGTGGAAAGAACGGTACGAAGACTAAAACGACCCACGGACAACGCGCAACCCCTGGCCTCGACATCTCCCGAGGAAGTGAAAGACATCCTAAGACGTCTATCCACTCGGAAAGCACCAGGCTCGGACCACATAACAAACCGGGCACTGAGAATACTACCGCGCAAGGGTATAACAGCCATAACTAACATTATAAACGCTATACTCAGATTGCAGCACTTCCCGTACCAGTTCAAAGAGGCAACGGTTATCCACATCCCGAAGCCCAAGACGAACCACCTGTTTTCAGACAATCACAGGCCAATAAGCTTACTACCTTCCATAAGCAAAGTGGCGGAACGTGTCATCATGAAGAGTGGGCCAACCTGTGGAAGATCAGTATAAACCCTGTCAAGAGTCAGGCGATACTGTTCACCCGCAGGTTGGTACAACCGGAAGGTTGTACAACGGACAAGAGATTCCGTGGACCAGCAAAGCGACATACTTGGGGGTCATCTTAGAGATTAACATTTCAGTCTCATGTACGGCAGAGAATCGGAATGGCCAGACACGCCAGACAATGACTGGCACCAATCATAGGACGCAGAAGCAACATGGGGTTGAAAGTGAAGTTGCTAATGATCAAAACCGTCCTCATGCCCATAATACTGTATGTCTGCACTGCCTAGGGCCAGTGCGCACAGACATACAGGAAGCAGATACAGTCTTTTATGAACGCGAGCGTATGGGCCGCCGTAAACGCGCCGTACTATATCCCAAATAGATATATATATATACAGAGACTTAGACCTGGACACGCAATATGTGGACGTGTATTTGAGAGAACACGCAGAAAGCGTGTTCGATAGAATCAGATCGCACAACAACCCAGCGCTACGCGATCTACACGATGCGTTGAACATGGATGACCCCAGGTTCCGAGAAAGGGACAAACATCCAAGGCCGACGAAGCAGAACCAACGTCCGCGCCCACGAGTCGCCGTCAGGCGACTCCGGTAAGCATACTAATCAGACTTTTTTCCAGCAAGTTCACCGCAGAACAACTCGACCGCGATCCAATTATCCTTAGATTCACTGAGGAACGACCGACGTTAATAGCAATAGCCGCCGGTTAGTTTTTGGAGGCCCCATGCAAAAATTCAGTTAGGAATAGTCAGACAAAACACTTTTTACCGATCGCGAAAGAATAGCACCTAAAGGCTGACTTTCAACCAAAAGAGGTCAGATATCAATCTTGC